ATCCAGCTGAGCCTTGAGGCCGGACCCCTGTGAAAACTGTTCTGCAAAGACTCGGGTGCGCGGGAACGTCCTGAACTGGGGGGCCATGGGGAGCTCAATGTCTGCACACGCCAAACCCGCCCGTGGAACCACAGCGATGCCTGGGGTGAAAGCTCCACGTGCGTGGGAAGCTGCGAGCCTGGGGCCGCGGGACCTCCACTGCAGGAGGAGGCGAGTGGCGGGTCCCACGCCAAGCAGCACGCCACCTCCAGGCGGCCAGAGGTCTTGGGCAGGAAAGGAAGTGAACTGGATCGCCTTCCTGTCCACTTCAAAACATGCGTTTAGCTTCGTGAAATAAAAAAGATTTGCTTTTTTTTTTTTTTCTAATAAACATTAACTTAAGGAAGTTATGACAATGGTAAAGAACAACAGAATGGGAAGAAAAAGAGTAAGCCCCGAGCTCCTTATTCTAATAAAGAAGCCGAAGAATGCTTTCTTCCCGTCTACAGCTTAAAATCCTGTGCTTCTCCATCAGAAACCACAACGGGATCTGTGTACATTCACAGAGGATGAAAAGTATAGTATACTGCCGCTGTGGCAAAGGAACAGCAGGCAAGGCGGGCCGGCACGAAGGCCAGGTAAGAGGAGACTCGGCAGGGTTACAGGCCCGCCCACGCGGAAGGGGGCCGGCGATCCGGGGCTTCGCAACTCGGGAAACGCGCGAGCGACCCATCGCACGCAGGGCAGGAACAGCTAGCAGCTAGCAGTCACAGGGAGACCAGGTGACGTCTACTTCTGCACAGGCCCCTGACTCTGGCACGTGGCCCCAAGGCGTGACTCTCAGAGGAAGACGATCCCCATCCTGCTGACTCTGTGCCGCGGCCTCGCTCAGCCCGGCCTGCTCCCTGCGCTGGGCTCCGGGCACGGCCAGTGCAGGAGGCCAGGTCCCCGGGGCCCTTCTCTGAGAGCCTCTCCCCAGACTCCAGATAGTGCGACCACTGCCTGTGCATCATCCCCTACAAAAGCGGCTGTCGGCTCCGCACTCCACAGACCTTAGACAAAATGAATCACTTTTAAATCTCTGAGCCTCAGTTTCTAAATTCAGAAAATGACGATAAAATCTTTTCAGTCTTTTTCATGGAGGTGTCGCAGGCTGACGTGACCTAATGCGAATAAAAAGAACTCTCTAAAATGGAGAGAGACAGACAAAGATAGAGGGTGCCTCTCAGCAGGTGGACGTCACAGCAACAGGTGAGGTTATGTGACAAGCAGAGACACGGTGGGCTTAAAAGGCTCCTGCTCACACTCCAGGGGAAGCAGGCAGGACGTGAAGATGGCAGCAAAGTGTGTGTTGTGTGATTTTGGGATTCTGGGTCCAAAGGGGAGGCCACAGATGCTTCTGGAATGGAACCTTCCCAGGAAGACAGCCTTCCTTCATCAAAGAATCCTGAAGACTGGGACAGTTAACACTGGAGGAAATGATGAATGGGGAAAGATGAGAAGACCCCCAGAGCTCCAGACTTCAACACAGAGCTCCCCGGGAGCCTGGCCAGCAGCACCAGTCTGAAGGCCTTTGGGCAGTCCACTATAAACCTTTTCCTCCAAACCCCTGAGAAGAAGCCAGATGAGAGGCAGTAGAGTGCAAGAAAAGGATGCAGCCTGGGAACTCACGGGCAAACAAATCCAAATTCCACTCCGGGCTCTGCAACTGACCAGCTGCTGGCTTCTCCTCAGAACGTGGTTAGCAGGTCCTGCTCTGTAAGCTGATGAACAGAATGAAGTCAGCAAGCCCTGTGACACAAGGCACAGTGCAGGGCACAGTGGGCACTGAATAGGTGATCACCCCTGTCCCTTTTTGCTGAGTGAAGGCTCAATCTTCATGGAATGTGCTGACTCCAATCCCACCTACCTCACACGTTCGGTCTTGGTGCAGACACAGCCACATTACCCTGAAGCCCCCAACTTATGTAAAAGCAGGGCAATCCCTCCACACAACACAGGGAGAATTAACGGCCCCATGACAAAGCAGGTACCCAGCCCTCACTTCCCCAAACTACAAAGCCTCCAAGCGCTCCGACTCCATCCCGGACGGTACCAATGACCAAGGTAACACCCAGCTGGCGTCAGGATTGGCTACAGGAATAAAGAAGCCCGGGCACATCCAGGCTAAGACTGCAGTGCTGGCTCAGGGTCTCAAGAAGGCCAGAGATCTCCCACTGTAAATGCTTTCGGGTCGAGGCCTTTTAATGGCACAGGAAAGAAACCAGAGAAAGACAGGCGTTCTCATACTAGAGGCTGAAGTCCCCCATCTATTCCAGAGTGTTTGCTCAGAAATCAGTGGTGCCATCAGCCAGTGCACAGGGCAGGAACACACCATTGACTTCCCCCGAGCCCCAGTGACCTGGACACAGCAGCACTTGGGTGCACTCTGTGTTTGCTTAGGGTGCAACCTGATCCCCACTCCAGTGGGTTATTTCGTAAGCCTTTTCAGGGTACTGTAATTTGCTCCTATAAGAGGCCAATCCAAATTAGCAACAAAAGAATAGTTAAACACCAGGAAAACCACTGCTTTTGTGCTGCTCAAGAAAGGCAGTCTTGGTCATTAAAAAGGTAAAGTGTCTTACTCTCTATCAACTTTCCTTTGTAAAGATCAGTCCAGTAATTTTCCAAGGGAGAGGTAAGTAGTCCTACCCTAGCACCAGCTGGAAGCTAAGGAGAAGCAGCACAACGTGCGAACACACATCTCCAGGCAGTTGCCCCTTTCTTACAGTTCCTATTTCTCTGCGGGGATAGCCTATCTTTTCATTCAGATGATGCGCATTTTCCTTTATATCTGATAGTTAAGCTTCACTGTCAACTTGACTGGCATGGCAGCCACCAAGGGATAGTAAAACACACTTTTAGGGGTGTACGGGTGGGTCTTGCAGGTGTGGCCTGAGGGTCTGCATCTGATCCTTGACTCTTTGCTCTGCTCTGCCTCCCAGAGGCAGTGAAGTGATAAGCCATCCTCTGCCATGCTGTCTCTGCCGTGGAGCCAGGAAACATGCACTGAGCCATCTGAAACCATGAGCCAAACAGCCACCTCCTTGAAGCCATGTATGTCTGGTACCTGGATCCAGCAAAAGGGAAAGTGAACTGACACCGCAGCCTTGAGCTACAGCCGCTGCCCTAAAACCGCTGTCAACATAGACGCCACGTCATGCTCACCTTTACTGATCACATGTTGTCTTGACTATCAGCACATTTTCCTGTACACCCAACACTGTCACACTTGGAGAGTGTGAATGCTCTGCTACGGAAATCCTGGGTTCTACCACATGTCCCTAAAACGTGTTGGCAGTTTCGTTCTGGCAGGAGATTATCTTGGTTAAACACAGAACTGCCCATGGAAGAGCAGCAGCTCAAGCCTTGGCCAAAACAGTTTGGCCTTTTGCCTGGCTGCATGCAGCCTGCCGCACACGGGCGGGATTCAGGCACCAGCAAGGGGTGAGGCGGCGGACACCCCGACTGAGGCTCGGCGTTCCCAAACCCTCCCCACACTTTCCAGGGTCCAGGTTGTTCCCTCTCCGCCCTTGATCCTGCAAGCTAGGAAAGACCTGGTTTTCCATCACTGTGAACTGCCCTGCACGGCAAACACTGTGCCATTCCCTTCCACTAATTTCCATTAATTTCACTCCCGAATTCGCGTTCTGCGTCAAATCTGAGTGTCTTCACTTAGCTCTCTTCTGTCTGAAGTTTATAATGGCTTAGTCCGATAGCAGCTTCCTTAGCTATTAGTAAGAGGAAACCTCAACTTTTCTCCTCAAAATGTTCCACTTTTTCCTACAATGCTGTGAGTCATGAGTTCCGAATTGCCTGCTCTAAGGGCATGGCCCGGGCAGGTAAGGCACCCAGGCTGCACCTATGTCCACGAGCGCTTCCTGGGCGTGTCTGCCGCCCTGGTGTCCCTTGACCAGACCCTTTGTCTCTTCACTGACTCCCCTTCTCCAGAGCTTCTCCACGTGGACGTCACCACCCACAGAATGAAGACCTCAGGGAAGCAGCACTTCTTACACAGTGACTAGCTTCAGAAAAGCTGGAAATAAACGCTGCCGGGCCAGCTAACGGCTTGCCGGAAACGGTACTAGATCACTTCTGCCATGTTTTACTTCTCACAGAGGGACAAGTCCTGGGCAGATTCAAGGAAGTGGAGAAACAGATGCCAGCCCTCGAAGGGGGAGCAGCAAAGTCACAGTGCAGGAAAATACATGAAATCACTCTGATTCTTGTCCACTTCTTAGAAACTATAACCTACCACAAACTTCCTATTTAGTAAAACAAAATTAATGCCGCCCAAAGCCAGACTCCAGGAAGGCACTGGAACGCCAGCCACGTGCACCAAGTGGCCGCAGCTCCCCACAGCCCTCTCTCGCTGCCTCACGTTACCGCATCATCAGCTCTCTACTGCTCAGCACAAAAGGTTCCCCCAACAGTCCGCTGAGCTCCGGAAGACCTAGGACTTACGTTCCCGTCCACTGCAAAACAGCGCCCGGAAAAGGTTTCGGCGTCACCATCCATAATGCAGGCTACAGACGTAAGGGGGTTTTGTCGTATTTTTTATTAATGGCCAATAACATTTTTTAAAGCCTACTACATGCTAAAATTCTTTTTAGGGCTAGCGAATACCTGTTTTTATTGACTGTTCTCCACATGATACGAGAGTATCTAAATGTACTCGCTTCAGACAAACACTGAGAACTGTAAGGAAGGGCGCTGGCTTGACACATCCCAGACAAAGGCAAACTAAAGCACACAAAGGCCAACACTAGTATCTGTGGGAAAAATATACAATACATACTATTTCATGTTATATATAGATGTATACATCTCTATATATCTATATCTATATATAATATATATAGGTTCTCAATGCTTTCTAAGCACCTCAAGCTTCTATTCCAAAATGAATACAATCTAAATTCTAAATGCCACATTCCAAATGAATATATATGTACATGACACACAGTGAAAAATAACTTTACCTTGTCCTGGTTATCTTTATTCTTGTAACACAGATTTCCGATCAGACGGATGAGATGAGACTTAAACCCCTCGGCCATATTGGAGACGTCACCTTCCGCTCTGACACAACCAGAGGTACTAAAGATGTTTGTGGTGTTGTTTCCAGTCACGTGAATCACTCGGAGAAGATCTAGAGCCCAAAAACAACTCTTGGTACATGGCACTACATTTCCATAAGTTTTAGTATTTGGCACATTTCCATAAACAAATCTAATTTATTTCAATGGATTAAAATAACATAAAGGTAAAGCATTTCTTTAAGTAACAAGATTTACATGACAATTATTTTTAACTTTAGTTTTGGGGACAGAAGCCATGATGATTACCCTGCCTTGAACTTTTTTTTTAGTACTGGGATCGAACTCATGACCTCATGCTTACCAGGCAGGCGCTGGTGTAAATGCGAAGCTAAATGCTTGGCAGCGACTTGAACTTTTTATTCATTCACAAAGAAGAGTCAGCTAAAAATTTTCCTGCGCCTTTCTGATAGACCTCTTGAATTCCAACTTCGTCATACAAGAACTCAGCTGCTAACATGGCAGCTAGGCCTAAGAGACAATGTTTCCGTAGTGACCCACACTGCAGAAATTGAGACAGCTTTAGTTTGCTCCATGGCAGAGCATCGGAGCGACAGCAGGTGCTCCATGGACCTACACCTTAGCTACAGTGAGAAGAAATAACACTGTCACACTCCATGAGCCCCTAGAGGCGGCCCCCAGAAACCCTCTTCCAGGAGCTGTGTGGCAGAGATCCCACAGCATCTCACTTAGCCTCTCAGCAACCTGAGAGAAGCAGCCATTGCCTTCCCAATTTTGCAATGGAGAAATCAGGCTCAGAGACATCAGGGCTGCTGCAGAGCCCACGCGTCCTGCCTCCCAGTGAGTCTCAGGTCAGCGAGGTTTGGTCTGTGATTACCAGGAGCATGGATGAGCTTCCACAAACCTCCTACCAGCACAGCTACGCTTCAGACTCGGTCACCTTTGCTAGTGGGTGGGGCGCTGAGAATCAGAATTAGCTTTTCCAAGGGAAATACAATAGAGAGTGACAGGCTGACTGTACCGAGTAGGTCTATCTGAATTACTTTGCAGATAGGTTGTCAATAAAGTTAGTAATACTTTAATTAATGGCTTCTTATTGAAAATAATTTTCTTACAAGCATAGGATCCATGTAAAACACTATTTTATGTGTTCAATAAATGTAACTGAGAAACATTTACTGTCAGATGTTGCAAAATTACATTATTTAAAAAGAAAAAAAACCACAATCATCAACCGCCCTCTGACAGCCTAACTGTCACACACACTCCTGCGGGAGCATCTGCACCTGCCAGCACAGGCCCGCTGGGCTCATCTTGCCAAGCAGGGTCCCCACCCCGGCACAGAGGCAGACCTACAGAGTGGTCTCGGTGTGTTCTGTGTCCAAAGCCTGAGCCATGACCACGACACCACCATTTCTCTCAAAAGCAAATATTCAGAAAGTCTCAAAAGTGTTCTTACAAAACTGCAAACTAAGGGTCTGCATTTGGTTTTATATTACAGTGTGACAACGACTTGTGAACTGAAGACAGTGTGCGACACTTCACTCACCGATTACTCCTTCCAGTAAGCCGGGGAAAGCCTGCAGACAGCCCAGCAGCTCGGTGTTGGCCGCCATTTCACACAGCACATCCAGCAGCCTGATGGTGGCCAGGACTTCCTACACAGACACGGAAAAGTGACTGAAGAACGTGAGCAGCTAAGTGAGTGGAGCGCTGCAGGTAACAGTATGAGAATAAAGCATTACAGTGAGCGTGAAAGTCAGTGTGTACAGCACACCTAAAGAGAGAAACATTTATGCTGAACAAAAGATAGTATTTAACATGTACTAGGATCGACATTTTTACTAACAGACATCTGCCGTAGAGAATGCAAGATTATGTGTTATTACTGTCTTCCTGCAGCAAACAATCAGAAAAATTCTTATTCAAGCAAAAATACCTCCCAACAGCGGGATAAGTGCTCAAAATTACTAGCTATTCCTATATAAGATTTATGCAAATACTTTCTTTTTGCAGTGTTCCCAGTATGCAAGTTCTACAGTAAAGATATGAATGTCCCGTCAAATACATTAATCTCTTGTCCGCAGGAATCCAACAAAGTGCTGTGGTTAAAAAACTCTGGTTTCAGAGACTTATGATAATTTCTGGGTAAATATAAAGCTACATGCAGTATCTTGGTGGGTTAGGAAAGATATGATTTGAAAATGTTAGTTTATACAGCTACTACAATAATTTACATCAAATAGAAGCACGCAACAAGAAGCTTCCAAGTACCAACTGCACGGCATTAAATGTCCTGTACAAAACTCTTAAAACACAATTTTTTGAGACATTTTAAACCTTGCTTTTACATAGTACACATTATTTGAAGAAATGTGAGAGAGACTATAAATTTAGGTAATAAAGATAACACTGTTCAAAACAAAGATAAATTCCTCCTGTTACTGCTAAATCTGTATCTACTATTTTCTAATTAGGAGACTTGACAGTAATATTTTAATGTAGCATTCTAAAATCTAAAAAAAAAAAAAAAAAAAAAAAACCTGAAAACCGTAAGAAAGAACACCTTTTCCTGGCACTGGGAAGTGAGCCCAGGGCTTCATGTGTGCCACGCTGGCACTCTACCACTGGACGATAGCTCGGCCCTTTTACTCTTTGAGGAAGGGTCATCCTAAGTAGCCCAGCCAGCCTTGACCTTGAGATTCTGTCGCCTCAGCCTCCCACGCAGCTTGGATCACAGGTGCGCACCACTGTGCTCAGGGAAACAACACATTTCTAACATCTTTCCTCTAATCACACTTCACTTGCTAATTAGAGTATGAGGGCTCTAGATTTGAGGTCTGAGTTAGTACCAAGAAAAGCGTCTTAAGTCAACTCATTAATTCCACAGGGATTCGGACACCCTTCAGTTAAGTGGGTTTTTGCCCATGCTGTCATCTCTAGATCCGTTCTCTCCTCAACAAGTGTTTGGCTGACGTGAGGTGTGGGGCACAGCATGTCCCAAGATGAGCCTGGACCATTGTCACACCCACAGCCAGGAATCAGGAAGGACTTGACGGATGCCATCGGCTGGCCCAGCCAGCATCTTACATTTGGAAGGCCAAGTGGTCCTAAAGCTATGGCTTCATAATGATCACTAAATATCACCTTGCAGGTGATGCTACAAAATGAACATATCGACTGGAAGATTTATAATCCACTGAGAAGAGATAAAGCACGTATGGTGTTTTTCTTACCCAAAAGGTACCAGTGTAACCTAGCGGCTGATTAGGGAACGCTTCTCTTTATAAAATGTCCCTGGTAATAAAGAAGCAATGAGCAGGCAGAGTCTGAATACTACTACATGTTGGTAGTCATTAAAGACCACAGAGATGGGCCAGGGATTTAGCTCAGTGATATAAGTGCCTGCCTGGCAAGCACATGATCATGAGTTCAATTCCCAGTACCAAAAAAAAAAAAAAAAACCACCACCACGAAGACAAGCCACCATGCATGCCTCGCAGTGAAAGTGCATCACCTACAGTAAAACAGACTGCAGAAAACCAAAACAACAGACAAGCTCAAGTCCCAAGACGGCCCTGGAGCTAATCATCCTTCCCGGCCAACTGGGGGAAGAGAAAATCAGCCGTGGCTGGGGACACACTCAGCAGGTGGGAGCTGCAGGAGACCTCTCCACAAATACCAAGCCCGTTTCTTCAGCAAACAACCAGCAAGGGACGGGGAAAAGGAAAAAGAACGAGGGTCCAGGGAAAGCCAAATACGAATGGACAGTGGAGACGGAGCACCGAGGCAGTCACCAGGGGGCCACCCTCTGTCACTGACTCAACAAAATGAACTTGAAAGAATTTCTGTGGGTAACGAGGGAGATCTGCATGCTGTAGAGCTGATGTTAAATTCTATCATGAATACTTCAGACATGCTAGGTGTGTTGCACATGGGTCTGAAGGTGCCTCATCCCTCCAAATGGCTCATGAAGCACAAGAGCCCCATTTCAGGCAAGGCACTGGCAGAGCCCAGGGGGACCCTGAGTGACACCAGGACCATGCTGAGCCCAGGACACAGGCTCCTGCATATTCTTTTTCTCTCTGTGTTTGAAATTCTTCATGCTAAAAAGCCAAAAATAAAATTAGAGGTATGGAAAACAGGCCCGGGAAGATTCTTTCCATTGCCCACACTCTGTGATAGCCCCCGAAGTAAACCCCAAAGAACCCTGACCTATCCCCACCTGAAACACCCCTGATCTCAGCCATTAAAAATCTTTATTGAGCCGGGTATCGTCGCTCACGCCTGTAACACCAGCTCTCGGGAGGCTGAAGCAGGAGGATCGTTTGAGTTCGAGACCAGCCTGGGCTACAAAGCGAGCTCAAGGCCAGCCTGAACTGCACGGCAAGACCCTGCCTCAAAAAAACCAATCTCTTAGTTAATAAAGTGTTTCTAATGAGCATTTGGATATTGATAACGAAAATAATAGCCAGGGAAAAATACTCTCCTAAAAACTAAGAGTGATGAGCAAATCTCCTTGCAGACATTTGGAGGCACTCTACAACCACTGTAATGAAAGCAGGCGCTGGGGGCGGGGCAGTAAGACTCTGGAAAGGGCAGCAGGGAAGACAAGAACGCACTTCGCACCAGTTCACCCGTCTCGGCGAGCCGGCCTTCCGTCCAGAGGCAGCAGCACTTCACAGCTTTGCAAGCTGTAAGAGATGATCACGATGTCAACAGACTGCAAGTGACGTGGGTCCCAGCAGGACTGAAGTGACTACGGCCATTGGCATAGCGCGGGCTTTGCGTCCCTGGTGACTGCATGGAACACACGGCTCCTTGCATTCTCCTTCCTCAGAGTAGCAGCCCACCAGCTCCCTCTGTACCGGCTGAAAACTCAGACACAGATCCAAATCCGTAAGAAGCTACTGCATGCTAACGCTAGTGAAAGGAGAGGCTAGCCACTAAATGGCTTTTTTTCTGGAGACAGCGTCTTGCTATGTAGGGCAGCCGGCCCTGGACTCACTCTGGCCTTGAATTCGCAGCGGTCCCCCCGCATCAGCTCCCGAGTGCTGGGGTTACAGCTGTGTGCCACACAGCCAGCACTAACCGGTGCTGAGGTAACGGCTGACACACAGCTGACACCTAGGACTCTCTGCTGGGGAGCACACCTTAGTGAAATGCAATGCACACTCAAACCCAGCCCATTCCCCAGGCACAGGAAACAGGCAGGAAACGGCTGAGGAACTCTTCCCAGGTCACATACTAGCAGCACGAGAATCAAGATTTAAACCCCGTTTCTTGCCAGAGATTTCATAAAGACTTAGTTGAAAGACAACTAATTTTTTAAAAGGCAAGTAATTAACTTGGATAACTTAAGATTCACACATCACTCCTTGCTTACAAACAGAGTAGATTCATCAAAACTGGACAAGCACAGAAAGAAATATGACACAGAGAGACAAAAGCTCAGTGAGTATGTAAAAAAATTCAGGAGTCATAAGGAAAAAGTCAATAAGCAGAACCAACAGGGCTAGGAACCAACAGGGCTAGGAACCAACAGGGCTAGGACCAATAGGGCTAGGAACCAACAGGGCTAGGAACCAACAGGGCTAGGAACCAACAGGGCTAGGAACCAATAGGGTTAGGAACCAATAGGGCTAGGAACCAACAGGGCTAGGAACCAATAGGGCTAGGACCAATAGGGCTAGGAACCAATAGGGCTAGGAACCAACAGGGCTAGGAACCAATAGGGCTAGGAACCAATAGGGCTAGGAAGGCCACAGAGCGCCTCTAATGGAAAGCTCTGAGGGAAGGGTTATGTGTGACAGCAAGCTAATTTTCTGAAAAAACCATTCACAGGGAGACAGGCTCTCACTATGTAGGTCACAGTGGCCTTGGACTTACTTATGTAGCCCAGGCTGGCCTCAAACTCACAGTGATCTTCCTGCTTCAGGCTCCCAAGTACTGGGGTTACAGGTGTGCACCATCATACGGCCCTGAAAATATCTTTAATAAAAGCATTTGAAAAGGTAACCTGATATGTAAAACAAATGAACATGCTGGTTACTGAAAAGTATTAAAGAGAAATGGTAATTAATTCATCTTTGCAAAGAGCTATAACCCACACAAGTCTTGTGCAGTATTCGCATACGATTTTTAGAATCTCTAACATTGTAAAACACACACAGCAATTTAACTTCAAAAACTTATAACCCAGGTTTGTATGTCCAAAACCACAGGTTTTGTACAAAAGTGTTGACTGATCCAGGTGTGGTGGTACACACCTGTAATTCCAGCACCCTGGGAGGCTGAGACAGGAGGGTTACAAGCTCAAGTTCAGGAACAGGCAATTTAATAACTTAGCAAAACCCTGACTCACAACAAAAATTTTAAGACACAACGGGGGATGCGGCTCAGAGCAAAGGTCCTGTGTTCAGTACTCAGCATCACAACAACGGAACAAAAGAAAGAAAACTCTTTACTGTAGTATTTGTATAGATCTCTTTAAAAACGCAACTGAAATATTATAGGGAAGAAATGAAACAATGATGATACAGTAGGTCTAGAAAGTGAAACACTATTCATCTGGCAAAAAGCATCCAGGAAGCGAGAATGGGGCCCCTCTTGTAACCCCAGGACTGCGGGAGCCTGAGGCAGGAAGGTCAGGAGTGAGTCCGTGCAGCAACCTGGCAAAAGAGGGCGGGGGTGGGGCTCTCTGTACCAGGCCTGGGCTCCAGCCCAGAGCACAACGCAGAATCAAATCCATGAACACACACGTGTAAACAGGAAGCTACAGGAGTCCTAAGTGGAAAAACCAAGCTAAAAACAGCATATGTAATAGCGGGAACAAGGAAACAAAACACAAGAGGGGCACACACACACACACACACACGCACGCACGCACACGCGTGCACACGCTTCAGAAGGAAAAGCAAAGAACACATGCAGGCAGCTCTGTAGAAAACAGGCCAAAAAGCAAAAAGCTGTTTGACTCTGTGTCGTCCATCCACTTCAGCTTAAGCATTCTTTCAGAACAAAGGAGGTATTTTGGCGTGAACCACGCTCTCTGTCCATACGTGGCGTGAAAGCGCGTTATTTTTACCTCTGCATGCGTGCTAAGTGCCTGTGCATGCCGGACACTGCGACTGAACTGCGGCTGACGCACTGTACCGGAGCGAAGGCCCCCCGCGGGCAGCTCCCACGGCACACGTGTGCCAGCGTGTCCAGAGCTACAGGACGATTTCGGGCTTTCAGGAAAGGTGCACAAGATCCAGCAGGCTGAAGCTCCAGGCTCACAGGGGACAAACACTACAGCGCACAGAGTGTGTGGAAACCTGGCAGAAGTACACGAGAAACACCGCCAAAGACGGGAACAAGTGCACTAACCCGGGAGCCCAGGCTTACCTCCCAGGGGGCCTGCGGACACGGCCGGAGGACGGTAAGGCCAGACAGCCGCACGCGGCAAAGATCAGAGCCTGTAACTCAGTCACCTGCACTTCCCAGTCACAGTGCGACGAGCACTTTATTGAACAGTTCGTGCTTAAGAACAAAGTGACCGGTGGGTAAACGCAGGGCTTTATTGGGAGGAGGAGCCCTGACCTGCAGCTCCTGCTAATCCCCACAGAGAAATACAGAGCCCCCCAGCCTGGGCCTGCACCTCCACCCCCAGCTGGGCCCACACACCTCTGGGAACATGGTGTCTTCTTAAAAACTCCCTCTCCCTGCTTCTCCCTTAAGGTGTGACATATGTACATCCTAATGTACACAAGTCATGAGTAGGCAGACTGGGAAATTTCTAAAGGTGACCTATTTAGGGTTTTTAAAAGAAGACTGCATGGGGCTGGGGATTTAGCTCAGCGGCATAAGCGCATGCCTTGCAAGCAGGCAGTCGTGAGTTTGATCCCTGGTACCGATAAAAAGGAAAAAGACAAAAAAAAAAAAAAAAAAAGAACAAAAGAAGACTGCTTAGTTTTTATTCTATTAATGTGTAATAATTTCTTCCCCCTTATAGAAATTACTATTGAAGGAAAAATACAAATTTTCTAAGATACTGAAAATTATACCAGGTAACTTCTCCCTGGGGTACAGTCCCTTTAAAGCAAGTGCTCGGAGGAGCTGAAAGTTGTGATTTAATGAGTACTGGGTGTTGCTGCCTTTCTTGTCTTCTAGACAATTAATTTTTTAAACTTTCAAAGCACAGCTCACTGCTCCTCCTGCTGGAAACAAAGGCAAATCTATCCCCAGAAGAGACCGGAAAGCCGGTGCACAAGACTTTCTTCTTCTCCATCACAGAAAGTGAGGACTTGGATGCTGGCACGGTCAGCGACCCCGAATCTGGTCTGCAGGAGAAGAAAGACGACAGCAAGTGGCCCTGAGCCAGCGCACAGGCACGGAGGAGTGCCGCGTTCTGCCAGCAGGACAGTCACCATCAGGGCCACACTGCCGCCAGGCACTAAAACCTTCCAGGCACTAAAACCTTCCAATGTCACACGTGGCTCTGCAGCGCACGACACGCTCACTGCCGTGTCCTCTGCTCCTCCACACCCAGACGAGGCTGGGTGTCACCCTGGATTCCAGTCCTCTCGACCTGTCCCCCAAGGCCAGCAGGGACTGGCGGCAGTCACTCCTCGCCCGATCACTCTCACCAGCACCACAGGACCTCTCTTTCTCAGCTGTGCTGAGATCCACTGAGGCACGCCTTACATTCGGTAAAGCGCACTCACAGGCGCACAGTGTGCACAGCGTTGGGGCCAGGCACGGGCTATGCGTAACATTTCCCCTACCCAGCCATTCCCTTCGTCCCCTGGGCAATTGATCAGCCGGTGACCTGCGACCCGTTTGTGTTCCTTATCACAGGGCTGGCCTGCTGCGGAGCCCCACAGAATGGACCAGACAGTCTGTTCCCGCCTCCGTCTGGCGGCTCTCTGCTGGCACCTCTGCGATGCATTCCTGTTGTACCTGAAGTATTTTTTGTGGCTGATTTGTGTGCCAGAGAAAGCACAATTCTGACCTTAGCTCAGAAGGGAAGGAAGGAAGGAGGAAAAGATAAAAATAAAGAAAAGCTGCCAAGTGAGAGAGTGAGAAGAGAGTAGGGCAGGCCGGGGGAGAAGAAGAAGCGCCAGGAGCGGTTAGCCAGGAGAGGACGAACAGGGGAGCGCCTATGCTGGACACAAGAAGTCAGTCTCCTAGAAGGCAGCCGGGAAGTGTATACCAATAGCTTTTCAACTGGTGTCCTTATACCCAGCTCGCACTCTGTAAGGTGGAATCCTAGGTTAGGAACAGGGGAAGGGTGCAAACACCTAACGTGAAGCCATGTACCACGGCACAAACGGCCTGGCTTACATGTCCACCACAAGGACTGGTCACGCGAATTACGCAAGGTTCACGTTGTACTGGGACTGCTGTACTGGCCTTTGAAAAAGGCAGTCACAGTGTCCTGTTCATTTATTCACTCAGCAAATATTCCCCACGCGCTAGTGCTGTGTGCTCTTCTGTGCTCCAGCTCCTGCCCTGCGGGGCCCACATTCACAGAAGACACAGGACTCCCACACACGGCACAGCGCACACCACCTGAGCAGACCCACGCCCTCGCACGCGTGCGCTTCCCTGCACATCCGCCACGAACATGCGTTAACCGAACGGCAGGAATACAGGCGCTATTCTGCCCACCCGGACTTTCTGAGTATTGTCAGCTGTGAGGAAATACTACTTCTGTATTATCTGGTAAGAACGAACTGCCACCAAGGTCCTGGCTGGGACGGTGAGACGTGTCCTTACCTCATCCTCGGCGTGCTGCTCGGAGGTCAGCTTAAGCACAGACCTGCACTGGTCCACAAAGGAGCTTGCAATCAGCTCAGCGTGGTGCAAAAATACGGAGATCTCATCCTTGGTCAGCTGCTCATCGCTCACCAGCTTGGCAATCATGAGGTCTAAGAGTGTGACCCTGGGGAGCAGAGGGTGCCCGTGTGAACACATCATAGTGAAACGCGCGATCCTAGAAACAGGACAGAGCCGACTTGCGGCGAGTATTTCCGTTTTACATTCCTTGCCCTATTACAGTGGCTAGTTAGGTAAAACACTTCACGGGTAAAGTAAAACTTCATTAATTATCTGGTTTTCAAAATCTTAAATTCTAGTACATGACAGCTATAGAAACAAGAATCATCTAGCGCACTTTTTTTTCCTATTTTTGAGATGGAAATAATTCAACAGTCCAGAAACAGCTGTTGGCTGAAGTTGAACGGAAACAACCACGGTGCCAGCAGAGTGAAGTGGGTACCATTCACTATCAAAACCAAGCTAAGTGTTTCACACGCGTTAACGCACGCAAGGCTCACAAGCCCTCCAGGCACAGGTCCTGCCCCAGCCTCTCTGGAAGCTTCGCAGCAGCCCAGTGAGGTGGACTGACTTGTTCTGTGTCACTCAAACATGGAGGGGCACTGACCAGGAGATCAGACGTCTCCTAGGAAACATCAGCCACACTCAGGGCAATCTATGCAGCAGAAATCACACAGGACATGTGCACAGAATCACAGCGGTGTTTGAGACTGTATGTACAATGCTTGTTCCTATAGGAGAAAGGGCCTGAGCAGCTAAAATGCTTAGCAAATGAGGAAGACTACACCAGAGCTGGGCACTTCTCACCAAAGGGAAAATATGACTTGTTTACTGCTTCAAGTAAGAAACAAAACTATACTGAATACTTCCTGGACAGTGTTTCATTGCTTACTTAAGGCAGTAAACAGTTCGTATTTTTATTTATTACTTTTCAATGCTGAGGCCAAAAAGCATAGGTTTGGCCTTCAGATTTCTGTTGTGCTAAACAAAAATAATTAAACACACATAAAGCCAGGACATCAAGGCAGCCACAACAGTACAACTAATGACACCTGATCTGTATTTCAGACCCTGACAGCGATGTTTTCTTCAAGGGTCAGCCACTATCACATTCTTTTAGTAGACGAAATGAACTTCTAAAAAGATTAGGTAACTGTTCTAGGAGGTGGGCAGCCCAACCAGCACGCACGGGTTGGGGGCCGTATGCAGGCCCCGGGTCAGGAGGCCTAAGGCTCAGGCCCACTCTCCAGCGGAGGGACCAGAATGCATGCAGATGTAGGCTCCGTTCCTACGAATCCCACTGGATGTGCTGATCTGGAATCCGCGACCAGATCCTCACCAGATGATCTTCCCAAATAGACCACTGGCCCATGAGCCAAGGAGCTGGGACCCAACCAGAATGAGAAGAGCCAGTGAGAAACAGCTCTGGAGCTGACAAGACACTGTCACGCTTGCACAAGACCTTCTGCGGTCACGGCCGCCACACGAGGCAGGCGGGGACCGCAATCACAGCTCACCACTGTGCCCCAGGGACCACCAGCAGGGACCGCAGGAATAGTCTGTGGACCAGCACACACAGACACGCCTCCATCAGTCAGACCTTGTAACCCAGCGGGCTGGAGCACAGCCCGGACCCTGCAGGCAGTGAAGTTCCCTGGGCTTCTGGAGTGTGTGCTCAGCTGGGCAGCCCTCCGGCCTCCAGGAACTCAGTTCCCGTCCTGGCCACACAGCTCGGGGAAGGGTGTGGGCACCTTCCTGGCTCCTTTGCTCTCTCAAGGAGCCCGATTCCACAAGGGAGGGAGATCCAGGTTCGCCATCGCTGCCTCAGTCCCTCCAGCCCTGCTGCCTGCCAGCACCTGACTCCACGAAGAACACATACGCTCCTGGAGGAGGCCGCGAGGACCCCAAGGCCTCTGCTCCACACGGACCGCTGGTGGCTTCTGCCAAGACCCCAGCCCCTCCCAGGCCTCTCCCTACACATCACACTGAGCATGGGGGCTCTTTCTTCAGCCACTGAGGAAAGCACAGTCCTCCGGTGACACTGCTGCCCCAGCCTGAGCTCCTGCATGGCTCAGTGGGCCCCAGGCTAACCACCTCACCCGCTGCATGGTCCGCAGGGTGCTTCTTTGCTCTCTGTCACTGTCACCTCATGTAGGCTCCACGAGGCCAGGGTTTTGTGTCTGGTGTATTCAGCAGGCACTCAATAAGTACTTGTTGAATGAACAAAGACATTTTTTTTCCAAAACAGAGCTCAGCCTGAGCTTTCAGCTCAGTGCTCTCCCCCACTGTTCTCTCCTGAGGGTCTCTATTCCAAACAAACCAGCAGGTTCAGTGCACCCAAAAACACATCCCAAGACCCCATCTGCGCTTGCCTGAGTCACTGCTTCACGCAGAGAATGCCCTGCTCCTGGCAAGGGCCTGCTAGAGCCGTCTGCCCTACAGGACAGGCAGTGGGTCCTGCCAGCATCCGCCTGCCCTTAAACAACATGGGACAGTGCCGGGCCACAAGAGACAGACAGAAATTACTCAGTGAAGCAAAGCAAATGATAAAACTTTTACTAAAAATTACAGGGACGTAAAAGGCCTTTCTAGTCAGTCTCTCCACCTCCCTAAAGCACTATACTTTTGGCATTTTAAGTCCCATGTCCTTTCATCTGACATGGTCAGACATATTTTAAAAACTGCTAATACCATTAAACTGCTCCCCTAGGCATGTATGTGCAACTTAGCGGGGATGAGAACCAAAGTTCAAGTCTTCAGCCAGGAATATTCTTGGTTGATCTTTGCTGAAAAGGCAGCTCACAGCCTAGGCAATCTTTTTGATACCATGTAGCTACTCAAAGCAGGAAATACAAAGTCTGACCTCCATTCCAATCCAGCCTCCATGAAACTGAGGGCTGAATCATCAGTGGCTCACTGAAGCACCGTCCAGTAACTGCGATACCCTAAACACGAGTATCAGAAAGTCGTACTGATCCATGGTCAGGAGTGGTCAGGAGGAACCAACACCTGGGAGAGATCGTCTCTCTTCCTAAAGGAGCTCCCTTCTGATACCCTTGCACTGTGTGTGGCTGCCTCAGTTTCCTGCGTGTAACAGGAACGTCACCCTATACCGTGCACTTTGGCTGAGGTAGGGCAGCGCTGCAGGGCGCAGTCCAGGTGGAGGCCAGGTGGCCTGCATGGAATCCCTGCCCTGCCAGTTAGCAGCCGGGAAAGCCACACAACACACTCAGTGTCCTCGCTGCACACATCCAAGGGCGGGTACACCGTGACTACAGGTTTTCCAGGCAGCAGGACAGAAAAATGAACATCTGGAAGGTGCTTAAAACAGTCCCTGACCTACATTAACAGGAGTCGTGTACAAGCTTGTTAAGAGAAAAATAAAGACGCTTTCACGGGCAATGAATTTCTAGTAAAAGCAAGTAACAATTGTGGTGTGCAGAACAAAGATGGAGCTGTCCTGCAAGGGACTGTTCAGAAAGCATTTAGAATCAGTGTTAAGTTAGATCAATTAAACGTTGAATCTGACTTACCACATCCCTCTCATCTAAGATTTTGGGAAGAAAAGGGGCTTATCACAGAGTACCACGTGAACAGCTCAACACTCCTAACAGGGTTGTAACTCGGTGTCCAGTGCCCAGGACAGCAGGCCTTCCCCTGACTTCCGTCCTAGAAAGGGCAGGCTGTGACCCCTGGAGTCCCAGCCTTCTGCTGGCCACAAGGCACAAACGTGACACAGGAACACAGGAATCTTTGCTGTCCCCAAACACCAGGGACTGTGATGGAACCTTTAACTCATGCAGTGACTCAGCAACAATGCTATCACTGTCACCTGACACAAAATGCTGCCCCAAAAAGCAGCAACCCTTTCTTGAACAGTAATGCATCGGACGACTTTGGAGTTTTCAGCATTTAACGTAAGGAACTCAATGAATGTAAGTTCAGTTTCAAATTAAATGGAGGAGGCAGGGGCAGTGGGGCACGCCCACACCCAACTTCTCAGGAGGCTGAGGCCGAGGCCACGGGTGTAAGGGCTGCCAGGGCAGCTTGGCAGGATCCCGTCTCTGAATGAAAAATGAACAGGAGGCAGGTACGCTGGGGCTCAGGCTTAGTGGGAGAGAGGCACTAGGTTCGATCCCAGGATGGTACCAAAGAGAAAGAAAAACAGAAAAGGTAAACCTCGCCGGGGATTTGGCTCAGCGGCATACAAGCCTACCTGGGAAAGGTAAACTTCCACTTTAATATTAACAAAGATTTTTTTGAACAATAAAAAAACGTGTATGACTTTATCTCCAATAAATATAATTTAGGCAATCTACTACTGTCAAACTAGATGACAACTATCATCAAAGCTACATCACTTTCTGACTCTGTAAGAGCAGAGCAAATGCAAGCGGGTCTTCTCATGTCATCTTCCACCCAGCAGCTTCCTGTGTTCAACAGGCTGCTCCTGCGCACCGCTCTGGGGAAACCTTCCGGGGGACAACCCTAAAACGATGCCCCGTTATCAAGCAGAGGACAGAGACACAGGAGCCAACAGCACCCTAAGGATGCCAAGGGGCCGTCAGCGGTAAGTGGATACATAAAACCGGTGTGGGAAAGTGTGTCAGAGATAACACGAGGCCACGCTAGTGCTGTGACAGACAAGAGTGAGCCCCGAGCACACGGAGACGGCGCGGCACGTGAGGCTTAGCGCACACAGTGCACGGGAAAGCTCGGCAAGAGCCGAGAGGGCTCTGAGGGGTCCAGCTCTCGGTGGGGGATGTTCATCGGCCAGCCACATGCACCTTTTTCTGAGGACAAGGACATTCTTCACTCACGCTTTCACTGAAGAGGTGTTTTAGTGTTTAAAGCACCTGCTATGTGCCCAGCGTGGCCTGACTTGGGAGCATCGGGGAGTAAGAAGGACCAAGGCCTCTGCCCACAAGGCCCCAACAACCAAGCAGGGACGCACCACGATGGGACACCTGTGGGCCAGTGCCGGCGGAGGACACTCACAAGCAGGGCCTTGCAGGAAGAAGGAAACACGCGCTGTGACTTCTCAGGAGTAAGAATGGGAAATCATTAGTCAGTCAGCCCCACTCAGGTGTGGAACACATCACTTAAAAATTGTCATTTGGGCCAGGATCCTGACATTCAGGAGGCTGAGGCAGGAGGATCACCGTGAACTCAAGGTCAGCTTGGGTTACACAGTGAACTCAAGGCCAGGCTGAACTACACAGCAAGATCCCAATAAATAAATACTATCATTTGGCAAGAACATGGAGAATACATACAAATTTGAATATTAAATTATAATGCCGCTAGGCATGCCCCCGTATTCAGGTGTACCTGACTGCAAAACAACCACTAACGTTGATGGCTGCACGTCATATTATTTTATCCAACACACTACAGTAATTCTTGTGCATATAATGGGGCACTGGATTTATAAATCTAATATTTAAAGTAGCTTTAAAAGCCTGAGCTTTTCCTCTTTGTTAAAAGTTATTAAAGAAGGAGGGGGGGGTACTTAACAAAAACTTACAAAGGAATGTATAAAGCTTAGTTATCAGAACCCAAATGCATACTAAGAATTCCAAAACTACTGCAATTACAAAACTTGGGACTAAAATCAAAAGACTGTAAAATACTTAACTTTTTGATCATTAGCTCTGTGATTTCTGGTTAAACTTCATTTCCTAAGGCAACATTTCTAGTAAGATTACAAAACAGCACGCGCTGCTGGAATGGAAGGGTTACTGAAAATTATTTTACCCAATTTTTTTATTTAACAGGTCAAAAACTGAATCTAATCAGGGTGGGAGAACCCAGCCAGGGCACACAGCGAACTGCTATGGCAGCCAGTCACGGCACTGAGGCCTCAGCATTCCTCCCTCCCCAGCTGCAGGACGTTGCGCAGCCCTTGTGTTCTTTCTGTCTGCACCATCTATTAGAAAACTACAAACCTGACAGTGGATACCTCACATTAACTAGCGATGTGAATAAGGGAGTGTGTCTCAAATATAAAACTGTAACACATAACACTTGCGTCAGCTGCTATTAGAAAACCAAGGCATAAGCATAACATTTGTCCTTAAGCTGGCTTTTGTGTTGTTGCTGTTAAACACACCATTACTGCACAAAGGCACCAGCTCCAATTCTGCAGCCACCGACCGAAACTAGCGCCCACACGGCGACGCACACAGAGTGTGCAGGCACGATGCCGCGCAGCCCCTCGCCAGCCATGGGGTGCCCGCACCGACGGCACACGCACAAAACCACACTGCCTGGGTTACCTTTCCTGATGGCTCAGTTTGGCGTACATGGCTTGCACCAGCTCCGGGTTTTTCAAAAAGTGGTCTGTAATGATCAGGAACCTAGAAGGAAAAAGGGATGAGGGGAGCTCAGTTACTAGAAACGTAGGGCAGACAAGGGCTCAGCTACCGTACAGGTACAGCACTTCACCGAGCAATGCCTTCAGGGAATGTTTTATTTTGCTACAATCATAAATGTTTTTCTACTAGCAGCTAAAAGGACAAAATCTTTTTCTCCTACTGGACACTTTACTGAGATAATCCAAATTGACTGGACTGTAAGAAAGGGTCTACTACATTATCTAAGTTGAAAAACCTTCACTATAAACAGTAATATGAAATTTACCTATAGTTCAGGTACAGACAGAAAACATATCACCTTATTTTAGTCAAAAGCTTAATGCTATTAAAATCAGGCAGAGAAATGGATGTGTTACACTTTTATTTAAAGGTAAGCCAACAGTGCAGTCCTGAAACCTGGCTTTATTTTCCACTCTTTTTAAGAGTTCTCAAGTTACCAAGAAAACATCCTCAGTGTCAACCAATGTGCTCATCTGAACTTAAGGAGATCAGCTATGAAAGCCCCAAGGCAAAGATTATGAGGCATATTTCTTCAAAGTACCACGGTGACATCTAAAAGAGTGAGCAGCATTATTAATTCTAAATTGTGTTTACCAGAGGGCAACTGAGGGAAAGACTGAAGAAGTAGGGAATAAACACACTGTTTATCATAACCAAGGTTAGAGTAACCAGTTAATGTGAAGGGCTCCACATACAACACACAGTCCAGTTACTTGTTAGCAAATAAATACACCTGCCAGCATAATAACCAAGTGAAACACAGAACACCACACAAAAGCACAGTCTGGGGCTGGGGTACAGCTGGGGTACACAGCGCTTGTCTACCACTCATAAGGAATGGGTTCAACCCCCAGAACCACAAGGCAAAGCTGAAGCACATCTAAACAGCAATTCTGTTTCTTCTCCAACCTGTAAAATGACTGATCAATACTCTGCTATAAAACATTTCTAGGGGTTGGGGATTTAGCTCAGCGGCATAAGCCCCTGCCTTGCAAGCAGGCAGTTGTGAGTTCGATCCCTGGTACCGATAAAAAGGAAAAAGACCAAAAAAAAAAAAAAATTTCTAACAATAATAGCTAATATTCAACATTTTCAACCAGCATTCAGGTTAAAGTCAACAAGGGACAGTAACTGGAATCTCTGCATTCCAAGCCGGGTTCCCAACACAGCGGGGTCCTTGAGCCCATCCGTAATTTAACTACTGGAACTCGGAACATTTCCCTAGAGGAGTACTCACTCAAAACCACAATCTTCCCTACATGGTGCTAAGGGCCAGATACAGGCCTTAGTCCCCAAAGGCCTGAGCACTGGCGCACAGCCCGGCGGTAGACAGAGGAACACGAGGTGCCCCGCGCAGACTCGCACCATGGATGGGAGACACAGCCAAGCGTGTCACAGGGCGGGGCAGAGGAGTTGCACGACCGAACTGGGCAGGGGATAAAGAGGCCGGAGAGAAGTTTTGTGAACCCTTGGGGGAACTCTGAGGGGAGAACTTCTATGGTGGAGGGGACAAAAAGTTCAGAAAACAGCACAAAGGAAAAAACAAGTGTGTTCAAAGAACTATGAGCAATCAAGTATTATCAGGGGTTGCTAGGGTTCAGGTCTAACATGTCCCCCCAAAATCCCATTCCTCAGAGGCGGAACTTGGGGAAGGTGACTGAATCACGGGGCTCTATACCCACAGGCGGATTAATCCACGATGAGTTCAGAGCACACTGGGCTCCATTAGGCGGTGGGACCTGCCTGGAAACAGCAGACCGCTGGGGAAGGAGCTGGAAGGGTGTGCTCTTGTCCCCAGCTCCTCCTTTCTCTCTCTGCTTCCTGCTGTCACGAGTAGAGTAGTTTTCCTCCACCAGGCTGTGCCACCATACAGTTTCTGCCTTGGAGCCAGCAACCATGGACTGAACCCACGGAGACCATGAGTCAAATAAACCTCTCCTTCTTACCCTGCAGCGTTACACTTTGTGTTCCAGGGACAGGAAGCGACCAATACAGGGTTCTGGAGGGACTCAGACCCCAAAGCTTCTTGAAAACAGCCCTCAACTGCCCCAGAAACTCTCAGGGCAAGAATGTCATCTACAGCCAGGCTTGAGCCAATGTATACTGAAGTGATACTTGTGCCTACTTTCAAGACATTCTCAACTAACATCCTGCTTTTTCTTGGTCAATTTTGTTGTTCTTTTGAAAGGACTGACTTTTGCCTTTAATTTTTCCGTTGTTTTTGTTCTCTATTCCAATGATTTCTACCCTCATCTTTCATTATCTCTTTCTTCTTTACTCTGAATTCAATATGGTCTTCTTTTTCTACCTTCTGAAAGTAGAACCTCAGGTCGCTGGTTCTAGATCTTTCTTTGCTTGCAGTATCTGAAACTACAAACTTCCCAGAAAACTGTTTTTGCTTTACCCACAAATTGCAGAGTGTTGTGCTTTCTTTACTACCCTTTGTCTTTTGATTTTCTTTGACAAATCAGTTATTTAGGTGTCTTTATTTTCCAGTGACTTAGGTCTGTTCTAGATATTTTTTGTTAAGGTTTTCTAATAGCACCTCCCTGCGATCTGAGAACACGGTAATACCTCGGGTCATGAACAGTTCTGCATATGAACAATTCAGGTTACCAACAGATGTGTTCAGTACAGTTTTGCTTGTCTGTGAACTCTACATCAGTTAACAAACATGACCATGGCCATCGTCCCCAGAACTGTGCAACAAATTAAGTTCATGAACCGACATACACTGTACTCTGTGTGATTTCCACCCCTCACAGGTTCACTGAGACTTTTACAGCCCAGCCTCGCGCTGGCACTGGTGAACTTGGCACATCAGGGGAAGAGAAAGTAGCAGTTGGAGACACCAAAGTCCCAGCGGCCACGTGCCGCAGCCTCGCGAAGATGGCCCATTTCCACACGGTGCCTGTCTGCAGCTTCCACCCCGGCTGAAAGTAGCTGTTAAAATTTATAACTATCACTTCTATTTCTGGGCAGAACAGAATAAAAACTTCCCCTCCTATCTTAAATAACATAAAAACAAATGAAATATATGAAACTGCTTTCAGACAATGGGTAACAGACAGGCCGGTTTATAGGAATGAAAGTGCTCTGGAGAATTTCTTCTTAAAACCCCTAACGCGTAGTTGACACATGTGATTTGATCAGCATGTTTACACAATCCTTCAGGACTCTCACAGTGAACTGAGAACACAGTGAGGGCAGGGTGAGAGCCCTGCTGGAATGAAGAAGTGAAAACTGCAGGAAAAGGTTCCCAGGGGCGGCCGGGAATGCGGCACCGCACGCGGGCGGGGCAGATTCCGGGCTACAAAGGCAGGGGTGGGGACTGGGTGAGAATCACCTTCCACCTGCTAAGGAACACCTGAGATAATCTACACGGAGAGAAAAGGCTTACTTTGGCGAACAGATCTGATTTCAGTCTGTGATCGCTTGGTCCGCTGCTCCTGGCCTGTGACTAATGCCAAACATCTCAATACATTTGCTACGTAGAAAGAATTTTATTTAGATCCCTAAGTATCCCATATAACATTTCAAAAATAAGATGTGCGCCACCACCTTTTAAAAACCCACAAGCTGGGACCGGCAGTTTAGCTCAGCGGTGTAAGCGCTCGCCTGGCAAGCACGAGGTCATGAGTTCAATCCCTGGTACCAAAAAAATAAAAATAAAAATCCACAAGCTGCACTCAGCACTCAATTGGAAGAGTGTCGGGATTCCATAGAGGTTCAGCAAAGCACTTCTGGTGGCGTGAATAGGGTTTCTGCGTACAGAGCAACAGCCTGTCGGTCAGAAAGAAACACTCTAAGCAGGACACACCCTGACATGGTAGCGTGTCACCTGCCAACACGCTTCTCTAGGTTTGGATTAAGCCTTTTTAATCCAACGTTGTGTTGTGAGGTAAGTGCACATTCACGTGCAGTTCTAAGAAGGAATCAAGGGTACCCTCTACCCAGTGTCCCAAAGGGGAACATCTTGTAACACTATAGCACATCACAATCAGATACTGACTCTGATGGGACCCCAAACCCCACTCACATTCCCCTAGAGTGTGTGTGTGTGTGTGTGTGTGTGTGTGTGTGTGTGTGTGTGTGTGCTAGCTTCTGTGTTGTTTCCTCCCATGGGGAATTCACAAACTCACATCACAGGGAAGACACCCAGCCAGGCACCCCTCATGCGGCCCTTTGCAGCTACACCTCAAACACTCCCCGCCAATCTCTCACATCTGTTCACTTCTAGCATTTTTTTCATTTCAAGAAAATTATATAAATGGAATAATACAGCATTTAAGCTTTTGGAATTAAGTGGGGTTTTGTTTGTTTTGTTTTCCATTTGGCATAATTCCTAGGAGAGTTTTCCCAAATCACTGTTTATACAAGAGTCTGTTCATTTTTGATGCTGAGTAGTTTTCCAGTTTTGGTTCTGTTTTAAGAATTGGAATCGGACTGGGTAGACAGTAAGAGTCTATAATTTCTAAAAAGTCCTTTTTTAAAGAAACTAGTCTGAGTCATACTTCTGCACAGAATGCCTGATTTTCAAGAACAGGCTTCTGATGTTAGGTAAAGGTCCTGAAAAAGCCTGTACAGATCCTCTGGGGTATCTGTCCAAAAGCACAGAGAACCAGAGAAGCCTGAAGCCAGTGTGGCCGTAACATCACCAGTGACCTGACTCATGCAGCGAACACTCTGATCCGAGAACTGTTCTATGCGGAGGCTGGTCACCTTTTCCCGTGAGGGCCCACACAGTATTTTGGGCTTTGCAGATCAAACGGGCTGCGACACAACTGCTCTGCTCCGGCACTGCAGCAGGAAAGCAGCCCCAGGCAGCGCACACTCAGCACCTCGGCTGTCTCTATGAACAAACTTTCTTTAGAGACAAGCAGTGGGCTAGACCTCGACCACGGCCACAGTTTGACAACACTTGCTCTAGGTGACCTAAATGGGGTGACCACCAGGACAAACTCCAGGACCTTGGAGGCTGGTCCTACATTCTAGCAACAAACAAGGAAACACAGTATTTTACTTCCTGTAGTGGTGAGTGCCATGAAGTAAATAAATTACATAGTCCCAATTCTTTAAAGTGCCAGGAAGGGAAGAAATGACACTTGGGTAGAGGCCTGAGCAATCTGGCCTTGCAAGGATCGAGCAGCAGAGCAGCACGCGTGAAGATTCAGAAGCTGCAAATAAGGGGTCGTCAAAAGCAGCGAGGTCAGCTGCACTCACCAGCAGGGCGCAGGCCGTGAGAACAAGGGGCCGGGTCAGCCAGGAGCCAACACCTGACTTTGCTGGGACGACAAGGAGAGTGACAAGCGCTAAGGAGGCTGCCAATCAGAAGGACGGAGGGCAGCAGCGAGGGCAGGGAGAGGGGGTGCAGCAGTCCGCCTGGGCGGAGCACACGGCACAGCCCTGGGAGAGGAGGCGAAGCAGCCGCAGCAGGTGAGCCTCAGGGTGGCGGCCAGGGGAAAGTAGCAGGAGGGACTCGGGGACTCCAGCCCAGCAGGCCGGGGCCTGGGCCCGGGCCCCAGGGACGGGAAGTGGCAGCACCATACTCAGGAGCAGGACTGCCACTGATGGTGGCACCACAGCAGATTTTAGGGCCGGAAAGCCGAAGAGCAGCAGCAGCCCTGAAGCGCTTGAGAAGCCCGTTAGAAGCACATGGGGAAGCCGTGTGTGCGAAGCTGGGACCCGGCAAACACAAATCTGGAAAACCAAGGGGCAGTTCAAGCTGTGGGGTCACCCAGGGAATGAGCCATGATAGAGGACAGTGGACTGAGCACCAGCCTCGGGCCATGCCATCTCGGAGTGGGGACAGCCAGCAGGGAAAGAAGGACGATGCCTGAGAACGAGCCCACAGACAAGGGAAGGAGACAGGACTCTGCGCCGTGTCAGCTCCCGGACCCACTACGCCTAAACTGAACGACTCTGGGACATTTGGTTGCGTGAGCCAATAAATTCCCTTTGGTGCACACGGACTTGGATCGTCCTGAGGCCCAGGGGAAGCACGGCCATCACAAAGCTTCCGCAACATCAGGAACTCTGTGGCAATAACAAGCAATACGAACCCCGCCCTCTGGGAGCGCAGTCTCATGGACAGTCGTACTTAGCAAATAAAACAGAATTCAGCAACAAAACTTTTTCTGAGTAAGCTGACTGTGATGATTCACCCCACCTTCCATCCGCACACTCAGGGATACTTTCTAAGGTGTATGCATTGTAACACGTCTTTCACAGTCCAGCTTTTGTCTGTTTGTACATGGTAATTAAAATACAAATAAACTTCCAGAAAAGTAAAAGTAAGTTATTTTCAATTCAGAAATGTTCACAATGATAACAGTTCACACCAAAAGAGACCAAGACTGAAAAAGTTCGAACCTCACCTACAAACACAAGTGGGGCCTGAGGCACCCTGCACACTCACCACAGTGAGGATAGTGCCACAAAGCCAGAGCTGAAGTAAACAGGAAGGCTACAAAATGCAAACAGCAAATCTGGATGAGTTCCATAAGAGAAAGTCAGTTCATTAAGAGGGTATAAAATTATATGTACTTAACAACAAAGCCTGAAAACAACTGAATCAAAAACTGAGGGATCCAAAGGAAGAAAACACATTAATTTACTTCCCTCAGTGGACAGAACTCTACTGCATTACAAAAAAAAAAAAGAACAGAGCTAGACAGAGAAGGAAAGAGCAGCCCCAAACACTGTGCCAACTAGACTTAGCAGGGGCCCACAGGGCGCTGCACCAAGCAAGCACACAGCACTTCCGGCATGCCAGCCAGCGACCCAGGAAGCAACTCTCCACTATCAGACGTATGAAATCATATAAAGTGCTCTCCGAGCACAATGGACTGAAATTAGAAATCAGCACTAAAAGGAAATGTAGGAAACACAGGTTTGAGGAAATTAGACAAAGTCCTAGAAAAATCCAAGGATTAAGAAACCATAGAGAAAGTGGGATGTAATTTGCGATAAGTGAAACTTACGAGGCACTAAATTACGGGATGCTGAAGCAGTTTCTGTATGGAAATGATCACTGGCATGAACGCCTTCAGAGAGGAAAAAGATGGGAGAGGGCGGAGGCCCAGCTCCATCCGGGGCGCGCCCTGCTCAGGCAGGCTGTCTTGGAAGCTGACCCCAAGTATGCTGTTCCGAGGAGGCGAGGCGGGGGTCTCCACCCCAGCCCTCTGAGGACATGGAGCACCCTGTGCAGTCCAGACGCAGCTTTCTGCAATGGGCATCTTGCAATTCACGTGCCAATCACACGGCCTCTTCTGGTGCGAGGGGCCAGGGTGGTGGGAACTGATCCCTCTGCTGCTCATCTCTGTCCCCTTAAAGAGCAAACTCTAAAGCCACCAGGGGCTGTTTTACCTGGTCACAGCAGTCCGCTCCACCTCCGCCTGCATGCCTGACATGGAATCCCAAGGAAAGAACCCAGGGATGGAGAAGTATTCAAATGAGTAAAGGCTGGAAACTCCCAAACTGCACGAAAGACAAAAGCTATAGATCTGAGAAGCTGGGGAAACCCCAGGAAGAACGAACCAAAGAAATTCATGCTATGACATCCATACTGGGGGGTGGGGGGGAGTGCCTGCCTGGGATCGAACTCAGGATCTCACGCTCGCCACACAGGTGCTTATACCACTGAGCTACATTCCCAGTCCTAAGACATCATTATTAACTTCTGGGGAGACAAAAATCTTCACAGCAGCCAGGGAGAAGCCATGTGCCAGCTCTGTGTGGAGAGTGATGTGACCAGCAGTGCCAGGTGCAGACCGGACTCTGATGTCTAAGGCCAAGTAGTGCCACGGGCACCGCGTGGGATGTGTGTGCCCCAGGGTGCCAAGGCATTTGCACGTCATGGTTTTGCACGCCAAGAGTGCCCTTCCCCTCCACACACCATACACCATCTCCTTAGCCTGTAAGACCCAAGGCAAGCCTCCCTTCACCCCTCTTGCAGATTCCTCAGCATCCACTCAGAATCTTCTCTAAATTCACTGGCCGCACAGAAAGTGTTTACTTATAATTTTGTTCTCATAATTCAAATTTTTATTTAAAGCCTCTAAAGGAAGGTGATCAGTCAGGATGACATTAAGCAAGCACCTATCTAGCAAGGTACTCACGGCCACTCGGACTCCGGCTGCTTCTGGTGCGCCTCTATGACATTAATGGCAATGTTGAGGTTTTCCTCCAGCTCCTTCATTCTTTCAGCGTTGAGCGACGTGAACAAGATCATCGAGCAGTAGGCAACGATCTTCTTGTCCGGATGATTTAAGCACGACCTTCCAAACGAAGAGAGAAGACTTTTAGGCCAATTCAGCGACGTAAGACAGGATTGTAACACATAAATAACAGTCATCCCATTAGCAAATTCAGTAGTGTTGTTTTTAGTACTGGTACTTTTAAGGATTATTGAGTCCTGAGTATTTGTGAGGGTTACTGATATTCAGATGTACACTGGTATTTTTAAAGATTTGAAGAAGATTTGTAAGGTTTTGAAACAAGTACTTCACTGTAAAAGTAATAAAAATAAAGTCACATAAGTTGCCGCTGACTCAGGACTCAATCAAAATAACACTGAACTAAAAGAAAAACGATCACACTCATAAAACACCGCGGTCCTGTTCTTGTCAGAAAAGCCGCGGTAGAATGCCTGGCAGTGCACAGCAAGCCCAGGCTCAGCTCCAGTGCTCAGCTAAGGGGAGGGACGCAGAGAAACCTCGGGCAAAGAAACAGCGCCTCGAAGACCGCCACGAGGAACGGTGTGCCGGAGAATGGGCGGCACGGTACGGCGGCAGGGGCAGAACCTGGTCAAGCGTCTCAGCAGCTCCCAGCTCGTCCCCGCAGCTCCACGACCTCAGGACAGCGCGGGCTTACCGACTGTCGGTACACCACGGCCCCTGCGCTCCGCTGGGCTGCCTTCCCACCCGAGCTTTAGCACTCTTCCGAAGAAGGCGTCCTCCACAGACCGCAATGAAGCAGGCCATTAACTGCACTCACCCACTGGCTTGAAACCAGGACCTGCCTAAACTGGGATTCAGATTCGACTATCTCATAAATGCATAAAATGAAATCACATAAGCCTCTCAGTATGCTTCGTTATAAAACATCAAACAATAAAAAAAAACTTTCTCTGGCTATCTCACAGGGCTTTAGCAAGGAAAAATATAAAGACAATATAAAAGTATAGTTTAAACCTTTAAGACATCTCTGTCTTAAAGAACCTTCAAGAACCTCTCCTTTCACTTGCCTGGCAAGCACAAGGTCCTGAGTTCGATTCCCAACACATTCAAAAAGAAACAAAAGAACCTCTCTTTTGTTTTCCCACTATACTCTGGGCTTCTCCTCCTCCTGATTACTTCTTACACCACGGCACACTCTCCTGCTCCTTTTCTACCAAAGCGTGGAATCATGAGAGAATAATGAAGTTTACCTAAGTTACTACCTTATTCTGGCCATATAGATCAAAACACGGGAGATGTTAGCAATCAAAACTATTTTACTTTTTTTTTTTTGTACCGGAGACCGAACTCACAGCCTCATGCTTGCTAGGCAGGTGCTTGTGCTGCTGAGCGGTATCCCTGGCCCCGGAAATATTTTAGGACAGGAATTCTCAAAATTATGTGACGTCTATTCCCGAGCTTGCATCTCACCCCTCGTTCCTTCTGCCTCAGTTCAATTACAGCTCCCACAGTACAGACACCAGGGACACCTGCAGCTGCACAGGCAGCTCAGAGGGGGCTCAGCGGGCAGGAAGCGCTCAAGCACCTGTGTGCTCTAAAGCACTGCTTCTCAGATGCACCCCGAAACCCACCCCGCCGGCAGCAGGGGGGCTGCGGTTGCAGATCCCGCCGGCTGGCTCTGCTCACAAACCAGCTGTGCCACGTACCAGCATCAGCTTCAGGTCCCGAAGCTGCGCACGCAGGGCCAGGCCCTCACCCACACAGTGGCAGGAAGGACAGGGGCGCTGACCAGAAAATGCCCAGCTCAGGGCATTTACACAACAGCCACTGCTGTGCTGCTTACATGGTGCCAGCACCAGCGTCGCCCTGTTCGTGGGCACCAGGGCCTAGATTAGAAGCTCAGCCTTCCACTCCAGATGGTGCCTTTCCCATTGTCAAGCCAGCCTCCGTCATGAGCTTACCTTTGATCCCCACGCCCAACTGTTTATGAACAACAGAGCTAATTTTAAAAAGTAGTACATCACCAGGAAAAGGTGCAGAATCCAAGCCAGATAAATGGACAAAAAACTCACTTCTTACACTGAGACACAGGCCACTTAGCCATTTCCTACACCGCCAGTGGACTGATTACCCACTTCTCACATGAAAGTGAACTGGTTCCCCACATCAACTGACACTGAGGGGGGTACCCCATCTCACACTAACCCAGGCTGGTTACCCATTTCTTACAGTGAGAGACAAACTGGGTATCTACATCTTAAATGGGCAAATTGGCTACTTACACCATACAGTTCTCCAAATCTGCTAACACAGAGCATCGTGCTATGCATGTAAACCCTGAGGAGGTAAAGGATGAAATCACGGCCCACAGTTTAATGCTTTATGCTCAATTCTGGTGCTGTTAGCAATGCTACTTACCCTATGACTTATTCCTGAGTTGGACACAGACGCCTAGTCCAGGTCTCACATCCATAGTGTGACTACATCGAACCTGCAGCCACCAACTGGATCACGAGAGACCACGGCCATCACTCAGCGATCTCCGGCTGTCACCACCCCCGGCGCCTGCCAAGGACCGCTGCTGTCCTGAGTGCCCTTAGCACAGGTCAGTTCTGCCTGGCTTCAGATTCATATAAAGGAAGGATGCAACGCGGTCCTTCCAAAGTTAGAGAGAGGCTGCCCAAGTACTCACATGAACAGCTCGGGGAACGCGTGCACCCAGACTATGGACTGTGAGTCTTCATTCCGAGAGGCGATGTTGCCCAGGAACTGCAGGCCGCAGCGGAAGGCTGGGAAGGCAGAAAAGAAAAACAGAAAAGTCTCCATTACACACCCCAGTACGCAGTCATGAATGAGACACGGCGCTCTTGGTACTAAGTGCAAGCTTCCGTTTGTTTCTTTTGAATATAAAGGTCTCTCTCCGCAGTGAAACTTTAGGCATGGCACTAATAATGCCTGAAATATGAAAGTCATATTCTCAAAGGCAAATTAATTAACTTCTTTAAAAGTACTAGAAATGTAAATATACCTATAATTACATTCAACATCCTGCATATGAGCTCCCATTAAAAGACAGCTACACTTAACACTCTAACTACATGCTACTTAAAATAAACATAACTGCAGGAGGCTGAGCAGGATGATGAGTTGAAGGCTAGCTAGAAAGTTCAAGACCAATGTGGACTACACAGAGAGATCCTGCCTCAAAAACTCTCCCACAAAAAGGAAAGATATTACAACAGATATATTTAAAACATAAAGTTATAAAACTTCTGCAAGTTAAAGTGTGGTAAAAAATGTAGCGGACAAGTAACAGCCAGATAATGAAGCCATTGACCTAAATCAGACATAATGAAAATAATAGTAATTAGACCATGACTTAATTTACCAGTAAGTTGTAACCATTTTAAACTGGAATGTGCCTAACATATAATGGTCTCAAGTATATACGGAAGAAAAACTAACAAAAGCAGAAGAGGAAAGAAAACAATACACACACTGGACAATTAAAAGGTACCTTTTTTAGCAACTGCAAGAAGACAAATAAAACTGTAAAACACCAGCCCAAAACCGAGAGCAGGGATGTCACCAAGGCCGGCTTTGAGGTGTGGACCTACAGCAGGTCTCTGTCACTGCTGGCAGGACCGCAGCGCGGTGCAGCCACTCTGCAAAGCAACTTGGCGATTTCTTACAAATGTAAATGTATTTTCCCATCTGATCCTGCAGCTGTGCTCCCAGGAATTTACCCAGGAGCTGACAATGTGCACCCACTGAGAACCCTACACCTGATGTTTAGGGCTTTATTCCCAAGCCTGAAAAGTGGAGCAGCAGGGGATGGTTTGATGGCGGTGGTGCAGGCAGACAACGGGGTATCATCCTGCACTAGAAAGAGGTGAGCTGTCGAGGCCAGAAGAGTCTCGGAGGACACCCATCACCAATCCAAGCCAATCGGAACCGGATTCCAACCCCGGGGCATTCTGCAAGAGGGAAAACTAAGAAGACACCAACAAATCCGAGGCCACCAGGAGTCAGAAAGAGCGAAGGGGGCCAGGCTGAGGAGGTGCAGAGTTGTTAACGTGGGAAAGCATTCTCCGGTACAGACCTCCGCCCAAGCGCACAGAGTGCACAGCGTGGAGAGCGACCCTAACATACACTATGGGCTTCGGGTGACAACGATGTGACAACATGAGCTCACCATCAGGACAAATGCACCGCCAGCCCTGGCGAGGGATCTGAGAGTGAAGGAGGCTGTGGGCACGCGGGCACGCGGGGAGAGGAGAGAGGAACGAGATCCCTGTACCTTCCTCTCAATTTTGCTGCAAATCTAAAAAACGGAGTCTGTTATTTTACTGTAAAATAAAACAGTCAGATGAAGTCGTTGGGGACAGCTTTCCATCCCCAACTTGGTGTGAACCTGGGCGAGTAGTCTAACCCTTTGAGAGATCCAGTTTCCCTACCAGCTCTTGGGGGTGCTGTGTGGGGTGCCTATAGGGCCAGCGTGAGGACAAGACGGGAGCTGACAGGGTTGCCCACGCAGCAGGCCACCCCATGAAGCCTCATCCCTTCGCCCCCTTTAGCCACCCTGGGGGACTGCTAATGTGAGCCTCCCATGTCAGGTGGCTGCATGGAAACGAAACCACAAGTGTGCTCCTGCGCCCCAACTGCCAACAGAACCCCCATGTGCTCCCGCCACCCGACCCCCTCTGAACTGCACCCCTGACACTGGTGATTTCATCCTTATCCAGGGGTGCAGGAAACCAAGGCCCAGGGCGCTATGCAGCAGGGCTCCACAATTAGGTCCACAGTTAGCAAAGGTCTCCATTCAGGGTTTGTCCTGTGATTGCATCAACCTATAAGTCAAAAATGGTACCTTAGGCTTAGCAGAAGCTCCATTAATAATTACATATGAATCTGATGAACAGAAAAGAAAATTTAACATTAACACAAAACCCTGCAGAATCCCAAGTCTTCTCGAGACAGAGCAAGCCACAAAACACTTCACTACATAATGTAGTGTAACAAACTCGAAACAAATTTTAAAGGACTGACTTTGCAATAGTGACTATGCTAGATGTAAAATCCCCAAAATAATCAGAAAATCCATATACCTAAAAGCCAAGAGACATACTTCTAACTAACCCATATGGACAGAAAAGAATTCACAAAACCCTGGAATACAATGAACAAAAACTGTTCAGAAAATACTGAAGAGTCCCGAACCCATTAGGAAATCTCAATCAGCAGTCAAAACTTTTCACAAAGAAACCGCTAACCCAGGTGACCACACTGGCCAGTTCCTACTAACTCAATTTTACACAACTCTACAGGACAGGAGAGTAGATTCCAAAGTGGTTTTATGAAGCTTAACAATCTACTAAGAAAATAAACGCAGTAACACAAAAAATGATGACATGAACTTTATACTTGCACTGAAAGCTGCTTTAACATTAGAAAGTCAAAGTGTACAGTGACCACATTAACTGTTCATAAAGGATGAAAATCTTACAACCATCGCAAACAGTGCAGAAAACATAGTTGATAAAATGTAATACCTGGTCATAATGAAAAACAAAACAAAACACAAAATTCCTAGTCACCAAAGATCACAAGGAAACTTCTCTGACCTAAGACTAGGTATCAACCACACACACACACACACACTCTCAACTACAGCACATAGGCTAATTCACGGCCACGGGCTGAGAGAAAACTCCTCTGGGGGACTGCGGTAAGGGCATCACCATTTCCAGCCAACACTGTACTGAAAATCCCAGCCAGCAAGACAAATGAAAGATCTAGGAACTGAAAAAGAATAAATCAAAACTGTCACATTTGCCCCTCACATGAGATTAAAACATTGGTAGTAGAAAACATTTTTAAACATATAAGCTATCTGCATTGGTAAGAAAACATAAAAATTGCTAGACACAGAGTTAAGGTATTAAAAACTCCATAGCATTTCTGTGTGCAGGAACAAACAATAAAACCAAGAAGAGACCCTTTATCCAAGGTTCAAATCTACAACTAAAAGTGAGCTATAATACCACCATGGAAGAAAGCACGAAACGTAACTGAGAAACATTAAAGCAAAATTAAGTGAAGAATTAGACCAAGTTCACAGAGGATTCCATTTTACCTAGAGATTAAATGCAAACCCATCCGGATCTCAAAAAAGGTATGTGTGCATGAGCGTGTGTGATTTCACATACCAGAGGCACACGGACACTCGTGCGTTATCGGATGAGACCATTCTAAAATTCACGTGAGCATGCGAGGGCTAACAACAGCTAAGGCAGGGCTGAAAAGTAACAAGGTGAGGCGATCCGTGCTCACACGCCAGTAAGCAGTCACAGGGGAGGCCATGCAGGGCTGGGGCTGAGACACACGGAGCAGCGGAACACCACGAGAGCTGACTCAGGGTCCAGGACAGAGGCGGACAGCGCCTCACGAAGCCATCTGGGTGTCAGCGTGGAAAAGGAACACTGAACCCACAGAAAATCCTGCTCCAAGTACTGACCTGCACTCGGGAAAGACTTCTAAACAAGATGAAATAAAATAGCACCCATTTTTAAAATATTTATAAACGGGACTATATTAATTTTGGCAGCATCGTAACATGAACTTTTTCTCAAATTTGCCACAGTGAGAATAAAAACAGAAGAAAACTAGCTGCAGACCAGGAAAAGATACATGGAATTCATGCCATTGACGCATACCACTAAACATTAAGAGGACGTCCAGAAAATCATTTTAAAAATCCGATAAGCCAACAGAAAAGTGGTAAAGTGACGCACCAAAAAAAAAATACATAAAATAAGAACCAAAACACAAAAAATACATGTGAAAGGGTGCTCAGAAGACTGGGAAAGTTCACCGCCACACGGGCCAGACTGGCACAACTTAAAAGTCAGAAAATGCTACGGCTGGAAAGCAGCGGGGACCAAAGGTTCGCTGAAGCCCCTAATATGCACAAGATTCCAGGAGCTGTTCCACAGCACGCATTAAGATACTTCTGAGTGGCTACCAGTTCGCAATTTTGCTTTTCAGAGCCAAATAAACTTTCGCTGTCTGTTCTGTGACAATAAAGGCGTGTCTTCAAAGGCCGTGCCACGGGAAGCCCCTGGGGGGCCCTGCCAGGCACTGCGGCAGGGTCTGCTCCTCCCAGACTGGCACCCTCCTCTGCCCCAGGCCAGGGGCACAGCATCTCCAGCCCAGCCCCTGCAGCACAGCGCCAGCAGCGCAGCCACGACTCCCTGGGGAAGTCCTGCAGCCAGAGCCCCTGCCTCCAAGGGGGTCTCCCGGCAAGTCCCCAGCTCTACTCCCAGGACTCCCCCACCACCCAGCTCCCTCTCCAAGCCCCAGGGGAGGACAGGACGCTCCATCTCCGCTGGGGTGGGGCTACTGGTCAGATCTGGGATTCCTGGGATTCAGCTTTCTCGTTGGCTCTTGCAAGTCAAGCCCTTGGTCCATGCCTGTGACAGTCATTCTTTACCTCAAGCCTTCCCTGTCCTGGCGTGCTGCAGTTTCTGCCCCGTCCCCTGCTGGCTGGCACCGTGGGTGACTGGGAGGGAGGAACCCTAGGAGAAGCAGCACCAAGCACGCCCTAGGACACAGCAAGCCGGAGCTAAGGCAGGCAGGACCAAGCCAGGCTCACAGAACCCGCTACTTCAGCAAAGAAAACGTGCCATCCGGAGTAACTGAAGAGCGGCGCTGAGGTCGACACAGAGGCGGAGGAGAAACGGACACCCCAACCTCAGACCCAGAGAACGGAGGGAAGGGCGAGGGGTGA